AACGGCAGCCTTCAGCTGCGGGCGCTGCGCCCTGAGGATGCCGGCACTTACTCCTGCTGGGTGGCCGGACCCCTCCTCAATGAGACCCTCTACGTGGAGCTGCTGGTGCACAACTTCACCCTGCACGGCCCCCACGACACCCTGAACACGGCCTACACCACTCTGGTGGGCTGTATCCTGAGCGTGGTGCTGGTGCTCATCTACCTGTACCTCACCCCGTGCCGCTGCTGCTGCTGCCGTGGCACCGAGAAGCCGCCGGCACCGCGCGATGACAGCATCAACTCCTCGGTGCTGAGCACCACCCCGAACCACGCCGGGGGCACCGGGGAGCCCTGCGGATCCCACATGGCCTCCGGCGGCGGCACAGGGCAGAACGGCAGGTTCAAGGGTGGGGGGAGCCCCTCGATGCCCGCCCGGCAGGGCCCCAAGGCGCAGAGGAAGGTGTCGGATCCAGACTCGGTGAGTTCCGTCTTCTCCGACACACCCATCGTGGTGTGAGGGGACACTGTGGGGACAGTCCCCAGGGACACCCCATGTCGGCCACTGCAAGCTGTCCCTGGGCAGGAGGGGTGGCCAGACCCCACTGCCGTGTCCCCAGCTTGGGGGGTCACGCCGTCACACCCCAGGACTGAGCATCGCTGCCGGCCCCCGCCGAGGCCTCTGACACCACGGGACAGTGAGGGACAAAGATGTGACACATGCTTTGGGGACAGTCTCCCACCGTGACCTGTCCCAGGGCAGGAGAGGTGGCTGGACCCCCACAGCTTTTGGGGGTCCCATCATCATCCCCCAGGACTCAGCATCGTCCCACACCCCCACTGAGATCACAGTGAGGGACAGGGGTGTGAGGGGACACACCATGGGGACAGTCCACCGGGACACCCTGTGTTCCTACTGCTGCTGTGACCTGTTCCCCATGGACATGCCATGGGCAGGAGTGGCTGGGCCCCTACCGCCATGTCCCCAACTTGGGGGGCAACACCACTGCCCCCCAGGATGGAGCATCACTGCTGGCCCCCACCGAGGTCACTGCACGAGCGCAGGGGACAAGGACACACCGTGGGGCAGTCCCCCACTGCAGCCTGTCACCCGGCAGGAGGGGTGGCCAGACCCCCACCACCATATCCCAACTTTTGGGGGTCCTACCATCACCCCTCAGGACTGAGCATCATCCCTGGACCCTGCCGAGATCACTGGGGGACTGTGAGGGACAAGGGTGTGAGGGGAGACAGCATGGGGAGTCCCCAAGGACATCCTGTGTCCCCACTGCCACTGCGAGCTGTCCCCAGGCAGGAGGGGTGGCTGGACCCCCATCACCGTGTCCCCAGCTTTTGGGGATCCCACCAGGACTGAGCATTGTCCCTGGCCCCTGCCAAGGTCACCGGGGGACAGCAGTGGACGAGGGTGTGAGGGGACTCACCACGGGGACAGTCTCCTGCTGTGACCTGTCCCTGGGCAGGAGGGATGATCACACTCCCACCACCGTGTCCCTCGTTTTTGGGGGTGTCACCATTGCCCCTCAGGACTGAGCATCACTGCTGGCCCCCGCCGAGGTCACCGCAGGACCACAGGGACAAATCTGTGAGGACAACGTGGCCACCAAGTGCAGGGCATCAGCCCCACCGGGCTCTGAGGACTGAAGGACAGCGACAGTGGCAGCCGTGAGCCCCGAGGAACGGCAGCACCAGGCAGAACCCCCCTCCCTGCAGCCCCGGCCCCCCTTGGCATGTGCATGGCCAAGCATGAGTCCCCCGGGGAGCATGTGCCACCCCCGGGGGGACACCGGGGGAGTGTCACCCCCCTGGGGAACCCCCAACACCCTCCTGAGCCCCCCTGCAACCCACAGCTGCAAACAGAGCCCTTCCCCCACCGGGGGTGGGACCCGGGGGCTCCAGCAC